ACGTCTAAGCTCTCCAACGTCTGCGCAGTGCGAACACATCTTTTTGACTCTTTTTCTTGAAACCACGTGCGGTCCTGTATCTGCCAACAAATTGGACAAATCGCTTGACTTGGCACGTGTTTGAGTGAACATTCATTCGTGAGAGGGATCTTAAGCTCTGTCATGTCATGCTACTAATAAGGCAAAGCCAAGCGACCCTGTTGATCCACTATGGCATTCTGATGATTTTGATTGTGGACACTGGAACAGAAATGACGGCAAGCCACGTAAACAAGAACCGCCAATGAAACAAGTTTGCAAATTGCATTGGTGAACATCTCAATGACAGAGTTGGCTTTCTTCCACCAGTACATTTCTGCCTTGTGGTCCAGCTCCTTTTTGTCCATCTCCTCTTTCTTTTTCTGTTCCCTTAGGAAGTTCATGTATGCCTGCTTCTGTGCCCTCTGAAACTCGATGAAGGTTTGGCGCATTGCGGTCAAAACCTTTAAGCCAGCCAGGCCAACTGCTGCTTGGGCTATTCGTATTATCATTGTTTGTCGCTTCTTTGCCTCCAGCTCTTGCTTAGCCTCCCACTCTTTCTGCTTGGCCGTTGCCGCTCGCTCCGCGGCCTCTGCCGCTAACATCTGTTCCCTCGCGGCCTGTCGCATTCGGTACGCGGCCGCCGACATTTCCGCAGCCGCTTCGCGCTGCCTTCGACAAACTGACGACTCAGTCCCTGGATTGTAGTAGAGAGTCAGATTCTGATTCCCTCTGTCTGCAACGCCTGCCACGAAGGCTAGGACGACGAGGGCCACCAAAGCCAGCATAGCCATCAATCGCCGGCAACGGGAAGGCATGGCGAAAGCACGTGTGAAGGCCGGGAAACTTCTGGCTGGAGAGCTAATCTTTCTACAACACGTTGGCAATCAATTGAGAATCCCGTTTGGCCTTTCTCTGCAACACATGCTGGGGACCGTCTGTGCGTAGTTAAGACAGTGTCAAATAACCTTCTCAAGCAGAAATCAGGGGAGCCATTTCAAATTGAACATCAAGTGTCAGATTGAGTCCGCACTTTTAGGGAAGCAAGCGAAGCACTTCTGGCTAATGAACCCGGCCAGAAGGACCACTCAATTGATAATTCAAGGCTCTATTGCAGGCTTCGTCTTGAACCGGGTGCCTCAGGTCGTGTAAACCGTAAACCCCTTGAACTCCACTCAAAGTCAGGCTCCCTATCTGGACCCTAGAGAGATTTGACCTGTAAAATGTGGTTCAAACTGCATCTTCAAAACTGCATCTTCAACTTCAATCCCACCAAACCATTCACTTCCAAACTCTAAGACATCACCTCTAAGCGGCTTTGGGCGGTTTTTGGGGATGGACATGATGGACCCTCAGCTCCGCCCAGCTCCTCCCCTGGGCTCGTCCAGCCAATCATCGGTAGCGGTCACCTCTGCCCAAATCGGTGTCGGTGAGGGAAGGCCGAGGTGTTTCATTTCAAACATCTTGTTATATATCTTTTGATGTCAAAAAAGGTGAAGAAACAAGTTTGTTGAATAAACATGTAATGTCAAACATGTTCGCGATCATTGCCTAGGTGGGGATGAGCATCTTGGTATCTTAGATGTCAAATTGAGATCCGTTGTTGCGAGTAGCTGATTGAACTGGCCGGGGTAGGAGGGTTTCTTTCATAGTGATGTTGGTGATCGCTTGTTGGCTGTTTGTCGCTGTTGTCCCGCGATCATCGCTGTCCTCAACACAGAAACAAAAAGGAACCCTGGAGTGGGAGAGCAGGGAATGAGTTTCTTGCCCTCACCGAAGTAACCCCACCCAGGATCGACTTCATTCCCGGTCCGGCTGTGGGTCAAAACCTCTTGACCTGCCCATGACGTCGATGTGGTCGATTCTGAAAATTTTTCTGTGGTCAACCAGTCGGTCCCCCGCTTTGGACCCATCGCCATAACTCAAAGTGGTTCTGGTTCCATAGGACATAGTCATTGAGTCTTCGCATCAGGTGGAGGGGTGCTTATCTTCGCTTCCTTCAGGAGCCTATTTACTATAAAGACCTCCAAATGGAAGTGTCCCGACACACCGTGAACCCACGCGGTCGATCAACCGTGAAGGAAAGCGGGCTTCACCTTCGCCGCGTCTCCCGCGTCTCTCCCGGTCCGACGTCCGGTCCGTCGACGTCCGGTCCAGTCCGCCGGGTCCGTCGGGGCCGCGCCTGGTTCCTGGGCCGATTCTTGCGGAGCTTGTAGGTGTGCTTGCCTTGAGTTCGGTCATGTTTCAACGGCGGACGGCGGAGGACACAAACGGCGGTCTGAAGAAAAAAAAGTGGAAGGAGTTGTTGACCAAAAAAAAAGGAAAGAAAGGTGAAGAACTGGGTTGACATGATGTGCGGTTGATATGGTTTTGACACTGATGCGGTTTCTTCAACCCCCTGCCCACCTCAGTTTATCAAGCACAAGTCCTTACACTTGGCCACTTTCGTGGGATAAAAGAGTCATTAGTGCAGAAAGACATCCGCATGAACTCTGGAATCTCCGATAGAAACTCCTTTCACCTCCAAAAAGACCAACAACATCCAACATATGTTCTTTTGCCATCTGTGAATCCCATCCCTCCCACGCCCGCCAAGCGCGCTTGTCCAGCAAACCACCATCCCTGTCCATCCAAAGCCACGATAAAGAAAGGTCCGCTTGCGCACGCTGATGGCGTAGCCCTTGGGCGATGGAGTCGCATCTGACGCCTCGCGAGATCGACACCGCGCCAAAGAGGTCTGCGGAGCGACTCACAAATAGATCTGATTCCTTGCGCTGGAGTAGGATCTCACCAGGAGTAGAACATTCGCAGGTTAAAATTCATTCAACATGTCAGATTTCTGACCACAATCGCTTGAAGAGAACCCAATTCCACCTGAGTTTGCCCAGTTGTTGGGAGCTTGGATCGCATACTTCATGTAAAGTTAACTTCAGATCTTGTTTAGGAATTAATAAACACACCAGGCTTGCGAGTCACGTCAACATCTCTGCGGTGTCGACACGAATGAAATCTTTAGAATCTTCAGCGGTTCCAACCGGGATCCAAATGCGTGGATTGAGAGTAGATGGCACAGACCCCAAGAGGTGGTTTATATGAACCCCCATGTAAAGGACATCTTGAGGTCTGTGCCATCTACTCTGAATCCGCGCATTTGGATACCAGTGACATATCCTCAAAACTCCTCAAGACTCCAAAAGAACCACCCGCTGCACTAGCAGATGCAGGATATTTATGATGCCTTCGATGTCTGGTCTTGAGTTCATTTTTGGGTACTCCCAACCCCTGTGCATCAACAAATCATACGCAATCCAACAAGTCATTCAAACCTGTACGTTTGCAACAACCCTGAAAGCCTGGCTCTCAAACTGCCTTAGCCTTTACCAAATCTTCAAGCTTTGCAGAAGGTCAGGAACCATCGCTGCTCGCTCATGGCACCAGCAGCTCTGGTAGCAGCTAGGATTATTTGAGTGAGCCCAACTTCCACATCATTGAAAGTTCTTGCCAGAACATTTTGTTCCCACCCCTCCACTCAACCAAACCCAGAGGCCCACCCCAGGTCGCCCCCAACCCAGGTCGCCTGAGGGCTCTCTGAGGCTGGAAGTTGCAATGCCTTCGCACGCAGACCAAGCAGCATCCCGGCTGGATGATGTTCTGTTCAGATCAATGAATGATCGCCTTGATCAACGAAAAACTGTTCAAACTGGTGTTTGACCGCGCTTGACACATCTCCCACCCTCCACTCCACTCCCTTTTAAGGAACTGGATGTACTTGATTCCTCTGCACCCCCGAAAAGCAAGCAGCTTCACCACACACCGTCACCATCCTTCACCTCGTCTTCTTTCCATTTTCCACCCCCAGTGCCGCGGGTCACCGCCTGGAAGGCCTCCAGCCACCGTTGGAGCTGCGCCTCTGTCGCCGCGTCGAAGTGCACCTGAAACGCGCGGAGAGGCGAAGGCCGTCGAACTCGGGTGGCTGGTTGGATTGGTCGGGTCGGAAGAACTCGGGTGTGAGTGCTTCATGAGAAAAAAGAAACTGCGCAAATGCTGCATTTGTAGTTGTAATTGTTTGTCTTGCGATGGTGGTTAGGTGGAGTGCACAATTTGTATCACGTCATGCACACTGCATAATGGGATCTGTTCCAGAATGTGCAGCAGTTCATTCGATTGCTACAGCCAACCGTGCGGATGTGCGCTGCTGCGCCAATTGAGGGACCAGTGGCGATTCAGGTGAGACGTAGTGTGTTTTTCTTCGAAATACCGCATATCATTGATTTCGTTGATGATGTTGCTTCTAGGACCTGCTGAACACCTGCCACGTCCGAAAGCTGTTCTTCAAGTAAACCTCAGTCTCTGTTTAGTTTCAGCTGCAGCTCTCAAACAAAGACTGCTGTGCAGGGGATACGTCAGCATGGGCTTAGAACTTACACATCCACTCCCAGGCTTAGCCTCCAGTCTCCCAGTCCCATCCTGTGGCGCTTCACCCCGGTTTTCGTACTGCCCAAGTGGCAAAGCGCTGGTGAGCGTGTGGCACATCGGTCCCCAGGTCCAACCTGACCGGCGATCCAGGTGGAGAGTGGGTGCAGGAGAGGGCGACGAGAAGTCGCCACCAAGTCGCAGCAGGTTGGAGAAGGCCAGAACGACTTGGCCTTCGATCTTGGTTTTCGTGTGTCTGTTCGTGTATTATTTGATTTGTATACTTATTTGTATATATATACATACCACAGCGGTCACGGCTTCGTTCAGTCACGGTTAAGGGCATCCGCACTCGCCATGCCAATGCCCAGCCCCGTCAAAATCTGTACAGGCAATGTCCCTGACCACAGTCCGCTTCCGGACGCTCTGGCTGCCAACCTTCACTGGCATTATCAGCCTGATCAAAGCAACTGCTTTGGCTGCGTGCCTTGCACACGATGTGCTACTTTCCCCAGTCTTATATCTTACTGTATATATATATATATATTATATATATATATCATATACCTAGAGCCTGAACACCATATTGTTGGATAGTTGATCCTCCAAAATAGAGGTCACTCAGGCTCCAGGTAGCTATAAGGTGCTATAAGCACCATGTTTTGAGGAAGCCAAGTCGAAAAACTCCGATCCTGTGGAGCCCTTCTTCTGGGGCAAAATGGAAGAATGCGTGCACGGTGTTTGGAGTACGTGCGAAACACTTCAGGTGCAAAGATACTGAATTGTGTGGTTTAGACTGTTTAGGGTTTAGGCTGTTTAGGACAATCCTTTTTGACATTCAGCCCAGCGACCCATGCGACCCCTGAAATATAGAGACCCATCAATCAAGTCTAGACTTCACACACTCCCCGCAAAGTTTGGGATTTATTGCAAGCCGTTTGATGGTTTTTGAATGTTTTTGAGTTCATCTGCTGTGTACAGCATTGCTTTTTGATTCTCGGGGCCGTGATATGTCAAGACTGGATAGTCAGTTGGATTGAGAATTTGACAAAGCTGACTCTAAACAACAGGCTGAGGAAAGGTTGTGCTGACTTCAAGCTCGAAATGAATGACTGACTGGTCATTCCATGTCATTCCCACTGTGCCTGGTTCTTCACCCATCAAAACATAAGCGCCTCGAACAACACATTGTCTGGTCACCACCTTGCACCAGCTTGGGTGCAAAAACATCACCCGCCGATCTTTCGATGTTGCACACCCTAGAAAGGTTGAACAGCCATATCCCACATAATTAGTACCACTGTAGGGTCCTAACATGTCCGATCCCAGATCTCTCAACCTCGGTGTCCGCCACTCCGCCTGACCCCCGACCCGGTCCGTTCGACTGGGCTCTTGAAGCTCAAGCCACACGAAGCCGCAGGGCCGTGTCTTCCGATGGAGCTGCGCATCTCCAAAGGCATCTTCTTCCCTCGCGTCGAGGGAACTGGTCAACTCGTGTCTGCACGCAGGAGCGCAGGGGGACCGGCACCCACGTTTGGGGTGAGGCGGAGTGGTCGCTGGTGGCAAGGCCAATTCAGCACAAAACCCCAAAACGTCGGTCACCCCATGGCGGAGGATTTCTGAGCGCCAAAAACCCCGCAGAATCCCGGGATCCCCGCTGTGTCACCGCACTTCACCCGCTGAAATCCGAAATCCGATCCTGATCATGAACCCACTGGGCTGGCAATCGAAAGGTGAATCACCAGGATGAATCATCAATCCCAGACACTCCATGCAGTGGGTGCTTTTAGGGCTCAATTGATCGGCATTTATGGCAGTCCCAGACAGCTCGTGTCTGGGAATGCCGATCCCGCGGGCAGAGGTCGCCGCGCTGGATGCAGCAGCTCGGAATGGCTTCGACGGGTCGACCGGCGCGGCGCGGCGATGGGGGTTCGTACCGCCTGAAGGCCGCCCACTTCAGCACTCGGAGCTCCAGCTTGGGCACGGAGCACTCACGCTCCGCCTCGTAGCACCTCGGAATGGGGCGGAAGAGGCGCGGAAGAGGGGAAGACGGTGGGGGCGGAAGGGGACCGAGCTGGCTGGTGGGAAGGAGGCCGCACCGGAAACCACAGGCAGCTGTGCTACTGGGCCATTGGGGGGTACAGTATCCATCATGGTGCACTGAGCCATGTGACATGCGCAACCTACAGGTGTCATCAGGTGTCCATCTTGATGTCCGTCTTCGTTATCAGGCACTTTGAGATCCGTCTAGACTACCCAAAAACCTTATGCTGTGTCAGGTGGTGCAGGATAAATTATTAAAGACAATGACCTCTTAAGACCATCACACGAAAAAGGGGGCACGAACTATGCTGGTGCGCTGCTGACTATGACTGGCTGGGTCTGGTGGGTTGCCGGCACCAAACGACCCTGGGACGCCTTCCAACCCCGGTGCGCCAATCAATCGCTTGTAGCATCATCAGAACAGAGCTTCAAACTTTCAAGGTGATGCAACATCTCGCCCGTCAGGAGCCAAGATACATTGATTATCATTGATTCATTGACCTTCTAGAATCACCGCCGGAGTTTCCAGCAAATGCGGGGCGAACAACACTCTATCTAGGATGCAATGCATTCACGAGGTGTGCCCATCTCTTCCAATATCTCAGCAAAACTATGCCTTTGGTCACGGTACAACCCAGGTTGGTCACATATTCTTCAATGGACTTCAACTCCAACTCAACCATCACCGCTGCTCGCCAGGCCACGCTAAGGAGCTCTGCCTCAGGACGCACCAGTGGGGCTCCCAGGTGTCTCGTAGCACTGGCAGCCGCTTCCTTGCCGGGAACACCGGCAGGTTCCCGAGTCTCTCATGGAAGGACCCTGCTCATCGTTCCGTCTATACAACTTGATGCTTTCCAACGGCGTGAAAGTGCTGGGAGTGCAGCTGGGGAACTCTAACCAACCACTCAAGAGCACCTCTTCCTCCATGGCATTGTGCAAGAGTCCACAAGGCGCAAGAAGAGGAGGCGTGAAGCGTTGAAAAGGTGTCGACGTGGAAGGATGGCTAAGGATGGCAACAGTAACAGCGGGTGAACAATGCTACAAGCCACTGAGGAGAAACATCAAATCAGTAGCAATTGTGTTCATGTTGCTTTGGATTGTCTTGCTTCTTTTGCTCTGAACAATCATGCTCTTCCAACGCACCATAAACTTGTACGAGGTGTTTCTGGGATGCAGTCAATCATCCGTGACCTTGGACTCCATCTTAACATGCTCCCCCGGCCATGGCCCGGCCAAACCACCGTGGCCTAAGAAAAAGAAACGACCGATGCATCTGAATGTCAATGGGGGGGGGTGATTAAGATCAACTCACAGCAAGCCAAAGAGGCAGCGGCCAGCACATAGCAGGTTTCAGATGTGAATGGACAAGCTGTCCAGCCCCAAGGTGTTTCTGGTGCAAACAGCAAGAATCAAGGGTGCTCAGTCATGTTTCCACAGGGCCCACTAACTGATCAAGTTGCTTTGGGACAGTCAATGTCGGGCACAAAAGTCGACAAGGCACCACCAGGTCGACTATCCGAAGAAAGGGAAGCTAAATGAGCTTTTCGTGCAACATATACATATATATATATTATAATATATATATATATATGCCAGAATCATCCTATGGGTGTCCAATAGACTACCCTACTTATAGGTCTCCAGACAGGGCACCCATTGGAAGTGCTAGGTATATATATATATATCAGCATAGTATCCGAAAATGTCTCTAATCTTGTCTGTCCCAGGTCGTGCTCCTCAAGCAATTGTACTAATTGTACCAAATCACGTCCAGATCCGTGCAGAGCGAATCTCTCCGCCCGGCAGCACCCCTGCTTGATCCAGTCCTGCTCTTCAAAGAACCAAAACACGACGTTTCTCCTGCATCGGAACAAGAAACTGTCTCATCGATCAAGGTTCCGGCCCAAACCAGCTGACCTTTCTCCGAAATAGCACTTGGAAGTGACCTGCCCATTGTACTTTTCACCCTTAAAAAGTCCAATCGCACTGATAAGGTCATTGAACTCATCAAACATCGTTTTGATTCCAAATTGGCCAATCCATATGACGGCCATTTCTGCCTACCTCCTGGATCCCTTCGTCGCCGACCCGACCGGTCCCTCAAGCTCCCAGACCGCGGATGGCGCGGTCCCATCCGCGCGTGGACGGGATCGTGCGGCACGTGAAGGTGCCGGGGCGTAGACGCAGGAAGTTCAGACCATCCACCTGCGGGAGCGGAGGTTTCGAAGTACAGCTTCAGCTTAGCTCTCTCCCATTTTGCTGATCACACGACTATTCCGAAACTGGGGAACTCTTCCGTGGCTCAAGTTGCCACGGCTTGAAGTGTCTATACAGGTACCTAAAGGTCTATAGAGCGTCCTGGAAAGAAGCTCTTCAGTCTCAGGAGGGATCTATTCTTTGGGCGCTGTTCGCCAGGGGCGTTTGGGGTGGCGGTGGGCGGTGCCGGAGCTGTGGCCGAGTATCATGAATCTAGGTGTCATTCGGATCCTTGAGAAAAGAAAGACATCTTCAAAGGCTGCGAGATGCCAAAAAAACAGGTCAAAAACAAGGAACAAAACCTGGATGGTGTAAAAGAACGTCATCAGGGGTTCCCAGGGATGCAAACGATGCCCAACCGGCTGCTCCTTGCTGGAGGCGTTCCGTGACAGGTGATGGAATCTGATATTTTTGAGCAAAACGAAGTCCAAAACACAAAAATGCACTTTTCCACAGAGCCCAAACCTCATCCTTCTCCCCCACACAGACCGGAAAAACCTCAATGACCTGATGCGCAACTTCGATTCGTTTAGACCCCCGGGAGCCTCCGCGCGCCAGGCTAAGGCCACCAGGATGGCCTTGGTTGGGACTAGACACGTGTTGGAACATCTGTTTTGATTGAAAGAAGCAACCATGGGGCAACTATCGCTTTGGTTGAAAGATTTCTTGAAATGATGTCCCTTTTGTCTCCAAACTATACTGTACTCTGCTAATTAGGTAACCAAAGGAGTTGACACTGAAAGAAACATATGATTTGATGGAAGACCATGCTGTTTGGATGGTGTCCTTCTTTGGGGACAGTGGTAGGTCCTCCCAAGTAACACTTCCAACTCGATGTCGGCCCAGAAACTGCGGGTGGATCGATTCTCCCTCATGTCAGAGTCCCAATCCCAGACTGTCCAATCCGATCTCCCAGATATTTCTTGTTACCTTCGCAGCGATGGCCTCCAACCTACGTGCGATGGCCTCCACCTATTAGCGTCCTTGCTACTAGACTGTAAGCTTTATATACATTGGGGTGGTTGACTTGGGGTCAATGCGAGCAACTAAATATACAAGTCTGCTTCGGTTGCAAGTCTGAATCAATCTCCCACTCCAGCGGTTGTCCTCGCAACCACTCCTGCAACGAATCCAAACAGTTTCTAACAGGGTCATTCCTAGGTCTTGATAGATCTTGTTGAATCTTGTTGCACAAATCCCCACAAATTGGGGAAGACAAAACAGCAAGGATGCAGTGGGGCAAACAAAATGTTCTGGATTTTCAGCATCACAGCCACCTCCTCCACACAGCTCCGCTCGTCTGGGGCTCCACACGAAAGCCACTGATCGATAAGGCTTCATGGCGACGGCCACAGTCTTCCGCTCGGCCACGCGCGGCCAGCGCAAGCGCTTCAGGTGAACTCGCGAGTTTGGCTGAAAACCGTGTTCTTGTTGGTGGTCGAAATATGTCGAAATCGTTTCGCTGGTGAAGCCATCCCGCTGGTCTTGCTGCAAAACAGTAGCAGAAGACTCTGTGGAGCATTCTGTGGAGCAGTTTCCTGTGCTGAGTGAGTGTGTCAGCATCGTCGAAGTAGATTCATGCAACTAGCTCTGCCTGGAGATCTCGCCACATCCTTTTGCAAAGCCAAATCTGTGCGGCCGTGGAAGAGAAACTCATGTGCCATTCTCTATATCTTGGTCATGAGATTGATTTTCCTGCCACTACGACAAGGTCAGGTGTTCAGTGGTGCATGGTGGTGCAAGATGCCCCCCGCTTTCAACAGCTCTCAACTTGCGACCCATCGAATTGCCTTTTGACCCGTGTAAGGCCTACCTCACTTCTCTGTCAGCTCCTTTAGCTCTTCGGGTGCCCCTTTTCTTCGTGCCGTGGTAATCATCGAGCTTCTCAGCACTGGTGCAGAACCATCTGATTTGACAGATGTACTGACTGGTTCCAAGCGCGCGTCATGCGGTTTTTGGCGCGTCATGCGCCGGGACCAAACAAAGCCTCTCTTGGCAGGGTCTTCTGGAGTCATCGAATGACCCCCTCATGCTGTCATCATCTCAGTTTATACATGTTTATACTGTATACTACAAAAGCTACAAAAGCCAAGCAAATAGTTGACAATCCACCACGGATTTCCTGAAAACGGGGCCCGTTTTCAGTCTACTTCGGCGGCCTAGGCATCCTCACCTCCTATCTGAGTCTAGCAAAAATACATGGCAGAGCTGGCTGGATGAAAACATCTCATTGTCCTGCAGGCCTACCTTAAACGAAGATATGTGCAGTTGTATACAATTGTGTCAATTGTCAGTGGTTTTGCTTTTCACAGTTACATACCAGGGTCTACTCCATCAATCAACTCCCGAATCAGAAGGCCGCCACCTGCTTGGTCATGTTCACCATGGACTTCTCAACACTGCGTCCGACTTCGGCTCGTCCCGAGTTCAGAGCGTTGCGCCCTCTGCCGGGTCGTGTCAAACGACGTCAGCTGGATGCGGAGGACATGCAAAGCACTCCAATCAGCTGCAAGCCGAAGGCTACACCTCTGGGCGGCGCTTCTTCGGAGTGTGGGGTCCCAGCATGGCTTTCTAGTGTGAGTGAAGCGCGGAGCACTTTCAAGGGGTTGATGAAATAAGCGGCGTTCCAACGAGCATGTGTCTGCTGCTGACTGGTGTTGGTGGTTTTTGCTGGAAGGCATTCAAACATGGAGCTGTGTTCGAATGCATCAAATCGTGAACCCGTCGACGGTAGGCTGTGATGCCCTACTTCGACCGATCCGTCTGGCGTTTTGATATTTTGTCTCAATGCAACCCTTAGGGTTTAGGGTTTAGGTGAGGCGAAGGCGACTCTCTGGGTTGGATCCTGCCACGGACCAGCAAGGCACGGCGAGAGTCATCGAATGTGTTGATGGAGTCGATGGTGCGTGTCTGACCGGCATGTTCATCTTCGAAGTTCGACCCCCAGCTTCCAAGAATCGACTGGGAGGTTGAGAGACATAAGGAGGTTGAGAGACCTTCTACAGTAGGACCTCTTTTCTTGTGGTACATATATGGGAGAGGGTATATGGCTGTTCAACCTTAGAATCACCTGGCTGTGCGTCGTTCACCCGGGTTGCCCCTTTCACTCACTCTAGTAGGTCCACCATGTCAGGTGTCGTCTATTCGGTTCAGTCTCGGTGGGGGTCCCGGTGTCATGATGACCCAGGCACTGCCGTGCCGTGTCTCACGGCCAGTAGAGTGCCACCCTGCAATGGAAGGAAGTGCAACTGGTCAGTGTGTTGCCGTGGTTTCAGAGGTTCGATGGCACGTTTGCCCCCCCAGTTGGGTGGTTTAGTAGGGGGACCCCCACATAGAACCTCTGAAACCAACTATATGGGGCCCCTAGAAGTGCATCCTCCTGAAGAGCAGTCTTGGGGTGTCTGGTGGAGAATGAATGGGGCAGCCCGTCTCCAACCCAGTCACATGCTTGAAGTAAATGGAGACCTATGAAATTAAAAATGTGTATTTCAATGGCTGATGTCAAACACTTGAAGTACATTGAACCGCGCCCCCCAGAAGTCATCAATGGAAGACCCCGTGAGTCATAGGGGTGTACCATACCAGCATTGAGCAACAGCCCGGAGCCCAAAGTGATGTTGAGCACCCGGGCTATACAAGATCAGTTGGTTCCTCTCAGAGATTTCCTCACCAGGCGTCGATTGGGAAAGCTGGCCGCAGAAAAAAAAAAACCGTCGATTTGACCTCCGCACTAGATGCGTAGGGAACAGCAATACACCCAGACACTGCATGGGACTGGAATCTCTTGCATACAATGGGGATAGTTTCAATTGGTGTCAAGGGTCCAGATATGTCCAGATAGGTAAATATACCTGGAGCCTGAGTGACCTCTATTTTGGAGGATGAACTATCCAAAATAGGGTCTTTTCCAAACAAAACAAAGGTCACTCTGGCTAGGTATGCCATACATGGTACAATGTATGCCTGTCCCCTCGGTCCCAAACATGGGACCGACCGGGGTTCCCATCCACTCGGCTCGTCGGCTCGTCTGCAGGGACCGACGGGTCCTTGAAGACGAAAACGGAGAGAAGGCTGGCAATCACGATGGGCCTTGGCTGGATGGTTGTCTTCATGGGAAGAAATCGCAGAAGTAGAGTTGCACTGTTGGAATGACAAAAAGCAACGATAGACGATGTATCTTTCGAGTCAGCCCCTAGCTAAGCTCAAAGGGCTGGGTTTCTCCCCCTCCAGGAGCCATTTGTAGCCTCTTTGATGTCTCCTGTAGCTGATCCCAACGGCAGACACCTGTGGCCATCTGGCCAAAGCATGGGGTGACTCCCTTTTTTCAATAGATTTCAACAGCACAGCAACTCCTGTGCTTCGTGTGTTGTTTCACTCAAATCTTTCAGCCGCTATATAATTGGTCCTTCTGTGGTGGTCATGTTGCGCTGGACCACCACACCAACAGCTACCGGGCATAGAAATCAGATCAAAAGGATCTTCATCCACTTTATCTGGGGAAGATGACCATAGCCGCTAAGCCTCTGCGATGTGTCAGGAGCCATGTTGAGCCCTCCACGGCTCCATCAAATGTTCCCAAAAACCCATCCAACTATGATCCGTGGTCCCCGATCCGTGCTCCCCGAGAAATGTCCTATTTTTCGCTTCGTCAGATGAGGTGACACTTGACCATTCACCCTGAGAGTCCCGTCAGTGTTCCTCCTCCTTTGACCCCGAACTGGTGGATTCTCACTTCGACCGGCGGCGGTCGTTCGGAAGTTCGACCAGTCCGGTGCTTCAACGGTCCGAACTCCGGTGCCTCCCTCCGTGACGGCGACGAACCGTCACGCCCGTTTCCCCGGGCAGCTGAACCGCCTCAGCCTCCGCACCCCACCGCGTCCAGCCTCGGACGAAGTCACGACCGTCACCGCGGAGCGCCGTGGAGTCTTGGAGCCGAGAGCGGCTGAAGCCGACACCCAGATGCCGAGCCATGCCGAGCGCCGAGCAAAGCGCAGTCTTCGTTCTTGGTCTCCATATCTTTCGAAGTCTTCTATGCACGCAGCAATCCGCAGCAACCTTGTTCTTTTTGGTACTGGCTTTCAGCCAAAAAAACCTCTTAGTGAAAAAGGAACAGGAATACTGGTGCTTGGTGCTTTCCACTCCTTGTTCAGATCCCTCATTCCCAGCGTTCATCAGGAAAAAAGGAGCAACATATTGTATTTATTCCTCAAAGATCTTCACAAAAGGACCACATATGGAAGTAGGGCCCTTGAAGAAGAACGGGGCTCGAACATGCAGGCCCATGCCCGACATCGCGGCTGGTAAGATGTCTTAAGAACCCTTTCTGCCACCTACTTACTACCCAAATACTACATGTCAAAAATATTTACCTACATTGACCCTCAAGTCAACCACCCCAATGTCAGTCCCATGTTTCGTGGGCCAACAGTCGCCACTGTCACTCTCCTGCCCTCTCAGTGTGTAACGCCGAGCCCTCCGAGCTCCCAACGTATAGCCAATGGAAAAGCCCAAGGATGAGATGCCGGTGATCATGAAGGTGAAGCCTGAGAACGGCATCCCATGCAGGGAGGCATCCCAAGTTGGTCTCCGATGCAGGAGACGATTCGTCTCCACCTAGCAACTAACATGAACGAGTCTCCAAACTTAACATAAACTCTTGATTAATACACCCCCCCCAATTGAATTGAAACTGCTGTTCAAAGAGGGGGTTAATTAATCAAGAGTCTACATTACCTTGAGGATCTTTGAGGACTGACCATGCACATCTGGCATGGACGATCCACCCACCCATGTGGCAGCCGACGATCAGACCACGGCACCCACGGCCCAGATGCAGCCACTCAAGTAGGCCGGGCGGATGGGTGCATGCGGCACGCGCCAGCCCGAAAGCTTCGCCACCGCCGCGTACCTCGGGGGCCCAAAAACGCGGGCACGAAACCCCGCCCAGTGGGCACTGCCAGGATGTTCTATGTCCGAAAGTCCTCACAGTTTATATATGTGAACCTATAAGGACGTAGTTCATATACAGGTGAGGTGTGTACAGTCGTCCAAAAGGAAAAATCCACCTCAACTGACGACCACGCATTCCTCCTGCCGGGTGAAACGTGTTGGATAAAATCTTGTGGATTCGCCCAGACAAGTCGTGCGGCGCACGAGAACTACAGAAGAAGACCGCTGGTGGCCTTGATGCAAACAAATGGGGTTTGGCTCCTGACAGGGGTTGGTTTTGAAACCTACTATAGGGTTCTCATGTGGATGTTCGACTCTCTCCAACAGAAGCAGTCCCTGATTTTCAGGTACCTTGGAGAAGTGTGACTGATGGGTGCACCATCATAGACACCCATCCGGCTCTTGCCTCCATGAAAACACCTACTGTAGAATGAAGAGCTAAACAGTATTGATCCCTAGGGATCCAGTCGTACCTTCTCAGAAGGTACTTGGACCCTCCAAACCTACATAGCGGTGTCTCCAATCACCTGCTGAGAAGGTACGACTGGATCCCTAGGGGATTGTGGGTACTTCATGGAACTTCATGATGGTTTCAATGGCAGCCTTGCGACAATGGCAGCCCATCCACACACCTGCGGCGCCCGTACCAGGCGCCCCGGCAGCAAGTAAATGGCACCTGAGTGGGAAAAACAGCGGGATCAGGTGGAACAGCTGGTTGAGTGGCTGACGCCTAAACTCGCCCGCCCTCAAAGTCGATTAGCCCAAACCCAACAAAAGCATATATAGAAACCGTATCCAGATATGATATCTCCAGTTGCGAAGATCTTCTCCATTAGAGTGTCCAAGGAACTGCTGCAAATGTAGATTCCCAGACACTGCGGGAAGACCACATCAGTGGCCGCCTGTCCCTTATGCCTGGCACAGATCGGCCGATGTTCACCGCCATGATTTCTCTCCTTCCGAAATGCTGGTGACATCGCTGGTGACATCGCTGGTCTCTGGGGCCGTCTGAAACCGACGGACGGAGTCGCGCATCACTGACAACTGTCGGACAGGTCCGCCAGGTCGAAAACAGACTGGAGGAAAAGAGAAAAGACGCCGTGGCAGGCATGTTACGGTGTCTTTGTTTCCCAAAGACAGCGGTTTTTGGGTGGTGAGAAAGCAGAAACCGGCAAACTTTGAAGATTTAGGATGATTTAGGTATATTCCAATGTGCGGATGGTCTGGGAGTCTGGGAAGTGATGGATTTGGTGTTCACTTGCAACATCGAAGCTCGGAAGTGTGGCAATGCACTAATCGAAAACACATATATGATGTGTAGCATGCTCGTTGCTTCATTCTTGCCTATTAACATGCCTGAATGGATTTGGATGGTCTGCATGGTCCAAATTCATCCAAGTGTCGGAAACCCCGAACATGGGCTTCGAGAAATCCATGACCCTCCCAACATGTGGCATCGGGCTCTTCACCTCTGGTTGTAGAGAGATGTCGGCACACCTTGGATGTGAAGAAAGCACTTCGACTCGAAGGCCGTCATCAGGCGCGATCGCAACGACGCTGACCTCTTGACTTCGCACACTGGTAGCTCCATGCAAGCACATCATACACTGGCGATGGTGAGGCAGGCGGCGTTTTT